GGAGGAGGAGGAGGAGGAGGAGGAGGAGGGAAGGAGGAGGAGGAAGAGTAGGAAGAGGAGGCTCACTTTAGCGACGGGTAAAGGAGGAGCAGCTCCGGGCGATGGCTCCAGCTGCGGCAGCTATGCCTGCAGCAGCGGAACAGCGGGGCAGCGGGGCAGTGCAATTTCGTATTCAAAATTGGCCTGATCTGGGCCGTCGATCTTGGTGGACCGACGGCCCAGATCAGGCTTTGTTTTTCTGAAATCTGTGGGTCCCTCTCAGGATTCGCCACCACGAGGTGCTGCCAGGGGTTGATCAAAACCCCTTGGCGCCCCGAGACCTCAGGAAGAAGCCATGCGCTTATTTTGCGCAGGGCCCGGAATCTTTATTTCCAGGTTCTTCCCAGGGGGATTTTTCCGGCCAGATATTCCGGATGGTCCTGGGCCATCCGGATATCCAGAAAAACAACTTAGGTAAAAAGTTAAAAGCATACATTTTATATTTTTTTAAAATTTTACCGAAATTGAAACCTTTTTATTTACCTCAAAAAATATCACAGTTTATCTCCTAAGGGTCAATTTGGACTTAACTGAAGTTTAGGTACATCCAAGGGGGCCTAAGGAGCTAAAACCATGATATTTTCAGGGCCAAATAATCGGGTTTCAATTTCGATGAAAAAATATAAAATGTCCGTTTTTATGAAATCGTTGTTATAATTTATAAGACAACTTTTGAGTATTGGGAACAGAGTTTTCATACCGAAGGTTCAAAGTTCAATGCCATGATTTCTCTCAAGTCATCGACTGCAAAAACCTCGTTAGAGACAACAGTTCAATCTGAGCTCAGGCACCGAAATCGAGGACCCACTGGAAACTGCAATCCAGCAATCTTTTCGTTGACAGTATCATCTTCACCCGAATATAAAGCCTGGTCATTTTATGGCTGCATTTAGGCCACCTATCTGTCTAAATGCAGTAGTAATGACAGGGTGTTCTATTCTGGTGAAGACAGTATGTAGGTCTTGTTCGCAGTCTGGAGAAAACAAGATAACCATGCGGCACTCCATGCAACAAAATACCACCGTCGGCCCTCTGGCGAAGATCAAGTGTAGTATCTGTTCTGACCAGTTTAATGACTGATTTGCGGTCCATTGGGGGAAAACAAAGAACATGAAAAGGCACGACCGTCATCAAGACATGTTCTCCCTCCCCTGCCATGTAATCTGTGTCTGTCTTTCTCTGACAGAAGCGCCAAGTGCAATATATCCCCTGCCATCGCAGATTGAGCTCAATGCCTGCCCACTGCTCGAAAATCAGGCAACCAATTTTTTTTTAATAATTATTACTTTTTTTTAAAAACAACACAGCCCCTTCTATTCTGGGGGGCATCAGTCCGGTTACTTATCACCGGCAAGCATGTGTCCACAACATAGACGAGGAAGGGAGGGGGCGGGGGAGGGGGGGGGGAGAGGGGGAGAGGGAAGAGAGAAGGGGAAAGAGAAGGGGAGAGAGAAGGGGAGAGAGAAGAGAGCTTAGAGAAACGACTTTACTTTTGCGACCCCAGTCATCTGCTCAAGGGGGGGACTGCTGCAACGCACATCCTCCTCCAGATCCTGGCTCTTCTTCAGGGTTCCCCTGCTGATCGGGAGGCTTACTAACACACATACTTGGCTGTTTGCAGGTATCTACCGAGAATCAAGTCCAATTGGAAGTCTGCAACTGTATGGGATCCAGGCCATTGGCCACGAGTCAATCTGGGCCATCGCATATGAGAGACCAGAGGCTGGTCAACCGGAGTCAACACTATATGTTGACCCAGCCCCTGCTGACCGACATTCAGTCTTGCACTTGCTGCTTGACGCTGGCTTGACGCTGTCTCTATGCTGGCTCGACGCTGGCACTACGCTCGCTCGTCGCTGGCTCTATGCTGGCTTGATATTGGACGATGACGCGAGACTGCTACTGTTTTGTGCTGGCGCCTTCCTCTGTCTACGGCGCCAGCTGGATTCCTGACTATGCTGATGTGGCTCTCTCCTTGACGAGGTCTGTTCATTGTCAGAGCGTGCCAGAGGATACTGTCTGCTGACATGGCGAGTAGGGGTTGCCCGAAGGAGGAGTGGGCTTGTGATGGAGTTCTATCTGCTGAGCTGATGGGTACTTTCTCTTCCACCCTCTTAAGTCTAATGCCCTTCCCATCTGCTTCTTCTCTGGTCACGAGACACTGGATCACTGGATCACATGTACGATTTCAGAGACATTGCAACTGCGCTGTGACATCTGTACTTCGTTATTGTTGAGCTTTCCACCTGACTGGGTTCATTGCACTCACCCTGACCGTTCGCTTAAGGGTGGTTCCCTAAAGTCATCTGCAGTTGTGAGGCCATCTGTTCGGCAGTCTTCTTCCATAACTCACTTGTAAAGCAGACATCTCTATCACTTGTAATAGACTTCGGTAGGCCAAATCACATACCCAGTGATTATGAAAACCTTGATTACATACTCTTATCTTTGCAGTCTCTGGTAGTGCAACTAGTCGAGCGGACTTCGAGAACAGGTCTACTATGACAAATATGTGCTGCTTGCCACTCTTGCTGGTCACTACCGTCTTCGCTCGAAAATAACGCTGGGGCGTTATATTCAACTTATCTTTAAAAAATTAGATTTTTGTTTTTACTCACTTTTTTGAAGTTTTTTTTCCAATAGAATGCTCCGTCGAATATAACACCCGGGTGTTATATTTGAATGTTCTGTAGGCAGTGTGCCTTGTAGAGTGAGTATACATGGGTTTTAAAGGGGGTTGAAAGGGGTTTTGACTTCTAAGGGGTATGTTTTGGTTTGATTTTTTGTTTTCTTTTTTCATTTTCGAATCTATAAAGAATTATGAAGTGACTCTCAGCCAAAAGTTGCTTCAATTCTTGACAACCTTTTTTTTAATGTAATTTTTTTATTTTTTGTTTTTTTTTCCTGGAATTTTGGGGGCCCACCGAAGTTGCCACCAATTTATTGAATATAACGCCCGGGTGTTGTAAACGAATATAACCCCCGTCGGGCGTTATATTCGTATACATTGCCCGGGCATTATTTTCGGGTGAGGACGGTAGGGTGTCCATGAAGTCCTTTGAGGGAAGGTCCTCGGGGCGCTAATTACTGAGTTTGAGTTATCTGACGATGTAACTCGATCTTTGCTGGATGCCTACAGGGAGACGGTTTCATGGCTGAAATCATCTGACTCGCGGCCAACGATAAGGCTGTTGCAGATGAAATTTGTGGTGGTTGACGGCCTCCTCTTCCTGAGAAGGCAGGAAATAAATGTCTGTGTGTCCTGTCTAGCGAGTCTTTGCGTAGTCTATTGTTAGGAGAATGGCATGATGCAACCGGACACTTCCGCTACAAGAAAATATCAGCGAACCTAGTGCAGCACTGTCGGTGGCCTACTACACTAGAGGACGCTAAGAAGTATGTAGAAACATGTCAGGTTTGCCAATGCGACAAACCAAGGACTCAGGCTTCTCTAGGATTAGTCAAGGCCTTCTAATTCTTCTATGTGTGTGTGTATGTGTGTGTGTATGTGTGTGTGTATGTGTGTGTGTATGTGTGTGTATGTGTGTGTCTGTGCGTTTGTGTGTGTGTGTAAAGTGTACAATAGACCAGTGAGCCTTATCCAACTCCTCTCTGGTTCTCTCTAGTCTGATGTATGTTGCATTTGTGTTTGTTTGTTTGTTTGTTTGTTTGTTTGTTTGTTTGTTTGATTGTTTGTTTTCGCGTGTGTGTGTGTGTGTGTGTTGTGTATGTGTGCAAAGTGCACGAGTTATGATCATCGACAAATTGGAGAGAATCAGCAGGAGACTTGCGGTTGGGAGGTGTCGAAGATGGAATCCGTTACAGCGCCTCTACTAGCAGTAGAGGAGGGAATAAGTGCTGGTCTAAAATTCGCCTCGACATCAATCTATGACAGGAGAGGGAAATTTTCAAGGTCTCGAGGCGAAAGCTGGCAAAAATGGGAAAAGGGAGAACATCATCATTGTCACCACTATGAGGAGCAGCAACACCAGCAGCAGCCACAACAGGCAACGAGAGAAGATGGCTCCCTGAGGCCAGAAGCATGTGCAGGGCACTTGCACAATGGAGATAAGAATGAACGGGATAGGGAGATTGGAAGAAAACTGCAGGATTTGATAATCGAGGAGGAGAGAATCCAAGAGAAGAAGCAAGGGATTACATTTGCAGAACATCAAAGCAATGGAGGGGTCTGGGGGACTAAGGCAGAAGTTCGAGTTGATGGGAATCTTCTCGAGAAGCTCCTCAAACTGTTGAGGATTGCTCGAGCAGAAGGGGCTCTGATCCTTATTTTCCTGGCAGTGATTGACGTTCTTGTTACTTCATATGTTGGTACAGTCACTGGATCATTCTACAAGGCCTTGGTGGATCAAGACTTGGCGGTGAGTGCTCTGGGGGATGATGATTGATACAGTGCCTTATTGTGCAATAAAATAATATATGATAAAATGGTGAAGATGCTGAAAAGTCTTTTGTTTTGTTTAGGGAGGGGGGGAGGAGGGAGTCAACAATTTCAACACCTTCACCACTTTAGAATTTTCAGAAGTCTCTTCGTCTGGATGCGTATTGACATTGCAGATTCCGAAAACTTTGAAGTGGCGAAGATGTTGATAATTTTGAACCCCCCCTCATCCCCCCCCTGTGTTTTGTCTTGTTTAGCGGGAGGTGTGTTCAAAATTTCAGCACTTTCACCACTTCAGATCATCAGAACTTTCATAGACTACATAATCCCTTAAAAGTGGTGAAATGGAAACTAGTGGAAAACCTCTATTTCAACGCTGAGTATTAGTGGACGCGTTAACCTTCTCTCAGTCAATCACCCTCAACCCCGCACACACATGCAACGAGCATCCAGATGAGTGTTCACAACTGGAACCGGTAACCGAGACACAAGAATCACACGACAGATTGATAAGCGAAATATCATTATTAATGCTTATTATACAAAGAAAGTGTTCGGGTCTCTTGTGGTCTCTGCCACTCACACAGACTCAGCCTCGGATCAGGTATGTAACCGTCTACCGATCTCTCTCTCTCTCTCTCTCTCTCTCTCTCTCTCTCTCTCTCTCTCTCTGGTCTTGTATCGCTCAACCTCACACTCTCTCTCTCTCTCTCTCTCCTTGGATCATGCCCTGAATACACCCACTCAGTTCAGACGCAGACCTTGGCGGCGCCTCGGATCAGGTATGTAACCGTCTACCGATCTCTCTCTCTCTCTCTCTCTCTCTCTCTCTCTCTCTCTCTCTCTCTCTCTCTCTCTCTCTCTCTCTCTCTCTCTCTCTCTCTCTCTCTC